CTGGGTTCTCTTTTGATTTTCAATATGGCCAAAGAGTGGGGAGAAGAGAGGGGATAAGACTGCTACAGTTGGGAGCCCATCCCCAGTGGGTCCATAGCTGGCTTGGATCTGGAGTTGATTCACTGTTCTGGACCAGGCACCTCTGTCTTTAGAACAACAGCAGGTCTCTCTTCACATCTGGAAAAGTTCAAAAATGTTTGTCTGGGTGAAGGAGGCCCCTTGGGGGAGGGGTTCAAAAGCATGACATCATCTCAGGCAGGCCCAGCTTCCTTTGGAGAAAGAGAAGGGTTGGGCCAACCTAGACCAGATGGGATTCCCAGGAATTGACGTGTTTGAGTAAAGCAAGGAGGGTGTGGGCAGAAGGAAGGGTTCCAAAGGGGAATTCAAAGGATGTCTTAGAATAGCCCATTGAGAGTATGATTCCTTTAATTTGGTGTCTGAATGCTACCACCACTTGCCCTTGTAACAAATTTGTATCTTAGGGTCAGATTGGTGGTGTACTATCTTAAGGAAGTAGCTTAGGTTGGTGTCTGTTTCTAAACTACATCGAAACACACATGTCTTGTTGTCTACAAAGCCTTTGAGGCTGTATCCAGATCTTTAACAACTACCAGAGTCAGCAAGATCCATGTCCTTTGCTGCTTGACCACATGATCTGTGCTCTTCCCCGATCAACAACTTGGTGACATAGGTTTTTCCTTTCTGGAATGAATATAGTAATATCACTTCTTTCCCTACTTACCTGGCACATAATAAGATATGATCTCTGTGGTCAATGTTAATACAGTCTGCTTGTTACAGGTTGGGAAGAAGGTAGAGGTGAAAGTTGAGACCCTGACTAGCACCTTACAGAAAACATTCTTGGCCTTGGGTTGACTAGAAACTGAAAGTCTGACTTCCCTCTTGATGCTGATGGCAATAGCAATCAGTCTACATTGTTATTGGCCTTGAAACAGAAAAAAATACAGAGCTAGATTTCAATTAGGAAAATTTAGAGTTGCACTTCAGGGTGTCCTGGAGCCCTTAGGACCTTTCCTTGCAGGTGGTATTACAGTTGTGAACTTGGGACCTGAGTCTATCCCTTGCCAATGCACAAAGAGGCCCACATCCTGTATGCCAACTTATAAACTAAACAGCTTCATCCCCCTACCTTAACCAGACACCTTTTTGGTCACTAAGAAAGCTAACTTTGAATTTGGAACTTTAACTCTTTTGGAATTCAGTCTTTATGTGGTTGATCAGGACAAGATAAGCCCTGGCCCCAGCTTACTTCTTTTCTTCCTATCCACAACTCTGGCCCCAGACCACTTCCCTTACTTTTTTCTTCCTTCATATGACTCAGAACTATGATGTGAAGGATCTTTCATGTACATATAGGATATTTGTATACCTATATGCTAACCCTTCTCCCTTCAAATAGTCATTCCTGGACCTTGGAAGTACACAGTGTGATGCTGCAGTTCACCTTTGGAGGGATGAGCCATCATAGGTTAATACTGGTCTGGATGTAAGCAAAGAGCCATTTGAGCAAGCTCTATAAAAAGTGTAGTCTCCAAAGTGTCATCTAGAAGGGAGGACCACCTGACTGGCTCATGTAGGAGGTAGAACAGGCTTTGGGACCCATAATATACAAGCTCAAGGTTCTCCTTCCCGAGTCTAAGGATATATAGAATAATGGGGCAAGGACACTCAAGAGTATTTAGAAAATGTATAGATAAAGAATCATTCTACCCTAGTAGTTTGATTTTCCTCATTCAAAAATAGACAAATCACCTATATTTAGGGATTATTAAACTTAGGTACACATGCATGAAAATATATGGTCCTGGCAAAGCCAAAGCTTTCTGTCTTCCTTCCCGTCAAGAAGGGTTTCATTTGAACCTCCTGAGAGAAGTCTCCAGGTTCCTCCCTGCAGTTGAGTTCTTCATCTAAAAGAAACAATGGGTTTGAAGGTCCTGAACTTTGAAAAAGCAAGACTGAGAATGAAAAATTATTTAAGGGGATTTGCATAGAGAAAGTATGGATCTACAATAATTAGTATATTGGATAGAGGTTGACCAAAAAAGAGAAGAGCATCTCTCATATTTTCAATCCTTGTAATGTTTACATAGGTGAAATTTTGTATCTTGGTATTTTGCTAAATACATTACAAACATTACCTTCTGTGTTGTTACCATTTTAATTACTTGTGAAATTCTTGTTTTATAGATGTTTAGTATATTTCCTTAGGGAAAACATAGAATAGAAAACTAATCTGGTGTCCATGAATATATTATTAATGTTACTTTATTGTCGAGGGTGGTACAAATATTCCAGGTAGATTCATCTAAAGTCAAGAAGTTGAATCAGGTGTTGTCATGAGGTTCCAAGGTCGGATTCTGATTTTTCCTTATTTCCTTGTAACATCTGGGCCCACAGATATAAACAACTTGACATCTGTTGCCACGGAAACTACTGTCCCAGGAATATCTTCATCAGTTCCTACAAATGAGTCCAATGAGGAAACTACCACACTTAGCATCTCTGGAAATACCAGCTCCCACTTCCTCTCTCAGGAAGGCAATGAGACCACACCAGCCATCTCAGGTAACCAGAAGTACTCAGCTAGTATAGCCTATTCCCCTACCACAGGTAGGGTCACAGAAAACAATGCTTTATGTAAGGGCATTTTTATATAAGTTCTGAATGGCTTCTATGCTGGCCATACATGTTTGTAGGCCATACATGACAAGTGGGTCCTGAACAGGACTGATTCTTATATTTATGCTAAGTTCGGCTGGTAAAAGAAAGGATCCAACTGGATTCCACTGATGAGTGTCTTTGTTCTCATCTAAGTGATGGAAGATGGTGTGAGTTCAAACTGTAGTTCTTTCACTTCTTTAGGATAGAATCATTTTCTCTTTCAGAATTGGGGGGCACATTTGATACATTCTAGATCATGTACATCCAATTTAATACCTAGGGCCTCATGCTTCTCAGGTTAGCTATGAATGAAGCCCAACATATTGGTAGATGTTAAAAGGTTGGAAACCCTTGCTTTATATTATAGCTATGGTTCCAAGAGCTGACTTGAAATAAATTGGGTCATGATTAAGATATGAAGAAACTGTGACCTCACCAAATTCTTATTTCTGCGCAGAAATCTGTGCTAGCACCACAAAGTGAGACTGTGTTTCTAAGTATATTGTGCAGATGCATACGCACACTTGTGTTTGGTGTATTCCAGAGACAACGGTCAACTTTACTGCGACTTCTGGGATTCCTTCAGGCTCTGGAACCACACCAGCTTTTGTGCAATCACAGACGTCCCCAACCATCACACTGCCTACCACTTCAGACAATGCTTCCACTTCAGAGATGACCTTGAAGTCCAGCGTGCCATCTGTAAACGTTTCTGATTACTCACCTACTAAAATCAGTTCTGAGATGATATCAACCACTGAATCATATGCATACACATCATCTTCTACTGTCCCAATTACTATCAAGGTGGGTGAGTTGGGCCCCAAATGGCAGATTATGCTCACTACCTATCCCTCTGCTCATACCAGCCAATGAGATTTGGATCATCTTGGAATCAACATGGAATATGTACTTTAAGAATTGTCAGAAAGGCTAGACAGGAGAAGATAGGGAGGTGAGGGTTCAGTCCAGTGAGAAGTCTGACCTGTGCTTTGGGTTTTGTATTTTGGGGAGATTCTCAGAGATCCTTCTAGTTCTCTGGTTCTTCAGAGGGACCCTTTTTTTGGGGGGAGGGAGATATTTGGATCTGTCTCCTGTATACTGGGGCTGCCTTTCTTAAATGTGTAGAGCAAAGTGTTTCTGATATATGGAGGGCTTAGTGAAGCACAGAATGTCAGTGCGGAGGTCATTTGAAGAGGTGAGAACTGGATGCATAGGAATGGTGAGTTCCTCAAGTCTTGAGCCTCTGGCAGAACACAGCTTTCAGCCTGAAGAGCTGGAAGTATGAAGGCCTAAGGCCAGGCATGAGGGGCCTAGTTGTTTGTTTTTAAAGAAAGAGCAGATGAATGGAGAGACTCCTAGGGACCAAGAGGAAATCAGGTGTCACCAGCAGCTGCCTGACTACCCCATTGTATGTGTTTAACTGACTGAAGAAATAAATAATAATAAAGTTTCTCTTTTTCTTTTTAAGCATCATCCAAGCCAGGTTTCCCATGATTTCAAATAGCATCTTTCTTATGGTCCAGGATAGTAACAAAAAGCTTTATTCTCTCTTTGGGGAAGTTTATGAGCTGGGAGCAAACACACTGAGTGCCTTTAATCTGAAAATCTTAGATTCAGATTTTTTATTTTGGAATATTTAATTTGATTTTAGAATATATAATGAGAGAACTTGAGGATAAGACCCAAGTCAAAACATAGGACTCATTTGTGCTTCATATATACCATATGCACATAATTTAAAGGTCATTTTACATCACACTTTTCAATAATTTTATTCACTCAAAAGTTTGTAGTGTGTATTTACCACTTGCAGCATCACTTGAGGATCAGAAAGTTTTAGAATTTCAAACATATTATATTCTGAATTTTTGGATTAAGGGTGCTTCTTTTTTTTTTTTTTAACTGCAAATCTCACTGGGCATGTCTGAAATCACAGCAATCAAAAGGCTGACAAGTATGAAGTGAAACCAGCCCAGGTTATATAACTACATAGTGAATTCTAGTCCAGCCTGACTGTAGAGTAAGACTTTGTCTCAAAAAAAAAAAAAAAAAGTACTTAAATAATGTAAATCCCTAGGCCTCTGAGAACTTTTAAATTTACCTTTTCCTAAACTTTTTAAGAGAGTACCTTGCCATAAAAGACGTGAAGGAAGAAATGAGGGGCTAGGGTACTTGCATATTTACTTTGTATTTTTTTTTTAAAATATAGGGAGAAATCAAATGTTCAGGAATCCGAGAAGTGAGATTGGCCCAGGGCATCTGCCTGGAACTAAGTGAAGCATCTAGCTGTGTAAGTCTACCTCCACCCCATCCTCCCATACCCACCCCAACCCCTCTGAATACCTGAAGCCGTCTTGGATTGGCCTCACTTGAGTAAGTAGTCTGGGAGCTTAGCAGGGTCAGACTGTTTCTAATATTGAGCCTTGGATTTGGACACTAAGAGTCCCCATCTTGTGAACATAAAGGGCAAAACCAATTTTAAATAATTTTTGTTGTTATTTGAGGTCGTCAGACTTAAGCTTGTTTTCATGTTAAGAGCCCTTGTCAATGCCCAGATATTAACCAGCCAACTAAAATTTAAATGATCTTATTACTTACATGTAACTCTTTAATGCATACTGAATTTATATTAAGTTTTTATATGGTCTGGTCATATACTTCAGAGATATATTCTTTCTTCAAGTTGACTATACTTTTGTCTGTTTTAAATCTGCTTCTACATTACAATGTTTTTAATATCCAGCAAGCCAGATCTTTCTTATATATACCACAAAAGTGAGTTTTTAACTCTTTTTTTTTTTTTTTTTAGAAAATCTTTGGTGATATCTGATTAGATCCCTGCCCCCAAAAATTTACAAAAATTTGAATAGGAACTTGCTAACATCCTTCAGTTTTTCCAAGTCGTATTTTGTATTGTTCATCATCACCTTTTTTTTTTTTTAATTTAAAATATTTCAATATTGGTCCCCACTCCCCAGCATACATTTTTTCTTTTGGAAGGGGATAGACTCCAAGGTTGTGTAATGCTAGGCAAGTATTTCATTGTTGAGGTATATCCCCAACATTTTCACTATAAGTTTTATGGATTTTATCAAGGATATCCTAATATATATTCTAACTTACTATTGCTTAGATATTAGAAAATTATTGGAGCCTGAATATTTATCTTCAGTTTATGTCTTTCTTGAACCTGCTAATTAATTCTAGGAGATTCTGGGTTTTTTTTTTTTTTCATTTTTAAAGTGAACTACAAATTATTTGCTATAATGTGTTATTTTTCTCATTCTTTTTAGTGGTAGTGATTCTTATTTCTGTTTCTTGTCAGGCCACATTGGTTAGAATGTATGCGGCATGGTGTGAATTTTTGTGTGTTACAGTAAATCCCTTGTTACTGGCAGTAACAAGGCCCTGGAGTAAGGATGCAGATGAAGGGGAAAGTGCTGTTTTCTTTTACAGTAAAATGTTTTCTTATGGGAATGCAGTGAAGGGAACCTTGTAGGTAACAGCTGATGGTATGGTTTGGACAGACTTTAGGCTGTAGAGGACATGCCTTACTTATTTTGACTACTCCATTGACTGGTTTCTTACTTGCAGCTATCAGGTGGGTATCTCTGACTTATAAATCTTTTAGAACTACATCTCAAAAGGACCATTTAACTTAGAGCATTTGAAAGTGGTAGAAATCATAAATACACAAGTTTGCAGAATAAAATAACTCAGTGAAGTTTTCAAAGCCATTTAAGGCGAACATGAATAGACAAAATACAAGCAACAGTTAATGTATGTCTGATGCCAATTTTAACCTCACTAATTAGAGATAAAAATAAAATCATCCCTTTTTTAAATTTTACCTATCATCTTGTTGGAACATTTATTTATTTATTTGTTTGTTTGTTTAAATGGAGCATCACATAGATCTGTACCAGAATGATAGTTTATTGTGCCCAGGGTTTAGAGACAACTGCAGAGAATTTTTCTTAGCAGTCTACTGTTCTCAGGATCGAATTTAACTAGAGTCACTGTCTAAGACAAGTGATACTCCAGAAGGAACTGCTCTTTCTACCTGTGGTCTATGATGTTAGTCTGTTTCATTCCTGACCAGAGAGCTCTTTGTGTGTTCCTTTGAGATGGGTGGAGGATCTGTGATTAGGATCTGGAAAGAGCAGCTCTCCCGTGTGAGCCAATAACGAAGACCACTACATTGCTCAAAGACTACCACCGCAGAACACATGTGGAGCATTGTCATCCTCTGGTGTTCCCATCACTGTCCATTTCTTCCTCAGAACATTTCTTCCCAAGCCACAAACAGTAGTGCCTCCTTGTGCTCCCTGGAGTAATTTTTCTTAGATAGCAGTCCTGGATCCAGGATTTCTAGCTATGGCTCCTGGTGTTTCAAGAGTCCCTACCTTGGATCCCGCTAGTCGGACAGTCTTTGCAAAAGTTGTAGGGGCACAGTCCCTCCTAGCTGCCATAGGATGCATTTTGGCTTTGGTGTCAGAGGGTTTTGAAGTACTGGTTCTACTAGTGCAGAGGTTCTTAACCTGTGGGTCGAATGACCCTTTCTTTCACAGGGGATGCCTAAGACCATCAGAAAACAGGTACTTACATTATGATTCATAACAGTAGCAAAATTACAGTTGTGAAGTAGCAAGGAAAGTAATTTTATGGTTGGGAGGTCACCACAACATGACTGCATTAAACGGACACAGGGTTAGGAAAGTTGAGAACCACTGTCTTAGTGGGACACTTCAGGCCCTACCCATGCCCAAAAGATTTTCCCTATTAACACATCCTGGCAGTACTTATCTGATAACTGAGACCTACCTGCATCTAGTACAAGTTTCAACAGAACTGTATATGTGGCTCTCAGCCCTCATTTTGCAATTTATATGATGAGCACCAAGGTGCTAGCTGTCCCTGTGTGGACCATTTAGATTTTCTGTACATATACACGGTAACACCTAACTCCCCACTTACTCTACTTCTGCTCTGCATCCTATACATTCTAAAGGATGGTAGAGCTATTTCCAAGCCCTTGTTTCCACATAGTAGAGCATGTCTTCTAAGTATAATTTCCATTCTCTCTTCTTCACTATCTGCTTAATTTAATGTTTGTAGTCATGATTCCCAAGGTTGTTTTTCAAATGTCAGATAACTTTATTTTATTGTATAGTAGTCATTTGTGCAGGGGAATTCACTAACATTTTTACGTGTGATAAAATACACACATGGAGAGTACTACCATAACAATTTCTAAGTAACACAAGTGATGTTGAATGCATTCATGCTAACCTTGCAGCCAACCTCTCCAGAATTCTGTGTATCTTCCTACGATAGTTCCTCACCACCCCCCCCCTCAGGCAACTACTGCTCTCCTGTCTGTCTCCATGAACTTAGTTGTTCTAGGTACTGATATGAATAGATTGTGACATAAATTCCCTCTATATTAAGACTGAATAACATTCCACGTTATGTGTGTGTACTTCATTCTGTCTACTCATCCATTGGTAGATACAAGTTTTTCACCTTTTGGCTGTTGTGAATAAAGTGTCTGTGAACACTAATGTGGATATGATTTTTGGTACCCTAATATAATTTCTTGAGGTAAATGCCCAGCTATAGAATTGTTAACTCATATAGTAATTCTATTTTTTAAGAGGAATTACCATATTTTTGTTTGGTTTTGTTTGCATTCCCAGAAATTGAATCCAGACCTTTGCATATGCTAAGCAAGCTATATCACTGAGCTACACTCCAGTCCATCTCACTGTTTTTGTTTTTGTAATGGCTGCACCATTTGACATTTCTGCCAACAGTATACAGAGCTCCAGTTCCTCCAGACTTGTCAACACCTGCTCCCCTTCCCTCTCTCGTTTTTAAATACACAGCTATCCCAATGCATGTGAATAATTATCTCATTATTATCTCATTGTGATATTGCTTACATTTCCCTGGTGCTTAGTGACAATGAAAATCTTTTCTTGTGCTCCTTGGCCATTTGTGTATCTCTGGAGAAATTTGTAGTTCTTTGCTACAAATATAATTTTTGGAACTACTTTATCTATTCAGTGCTATGTCTGTTATATGTACTATTTATATCCATACAGCTTGAATAGATGAAAGTGTTTGAGTTTTACTATCTTTTCTAAGTTTATATCTACTCATCTTGCTCATATTACCTCATTTACACATTATACCAACTTCCTCTGAGGCAGTCTGTTTCCAACCCTCTAATCACACACAGCCTTTGCCTTCCTTGCCCTCTACCTGAAGAATAAAGGTCAGTTACCTTACAGGAAACATCACTTACCAATGAAGGACTAACGGAGGAAGACTGTCTATTGGAAAGAAATATTTGGAGACAATTTAACTCTTGCCCTTAGGTCATTGCCCACTTGTTTGGCTTATAACAATAGTCCTTTAATTATTTCAGTCTCTTCAATGAAGATAGGGGTTACGCCTGCCACTGACAAATTTAATACAGTGAAGAATATAAAATTACTTTAAACCAGGTGACTGCAGGGTGTCTTAGGTTTCTTATTGCCATGATAAACACCATGACCGAAAGCAGCTTGAGGAAAACAGGGTTGGAAGACAGGGCAAGAACTCAAGGCAGGAACTGACACCTAGACCATGGAGTAGTGCGGCTTGCTGGTTTGCCTGCTCCTGGCTTTGCTCAGCCTGCTTTCTTACCCAATCTAGGATCACCACCCACCCAGAAGTGGTACTACCCACAAAGGCTTGAGCCCTCCATGTTGATTGCTAGTTAAGAAAATAGTCTATAGATTTGCCAACAGATAAATCTTATGGAGTCATTTTATCAATTGAAGGTCCCTCTTCCCAAATAACTTACAACTTGTGTCAAACTGACAAAAAAAAAAAAAAAGGAAAAAAAAAAGAAACGAAATAATGGGAGACAATTGATTCTAGAAATAATAGCTTTGGGAAATACCTCAAGGACCCTTTAGAAATGTGCCTGTACCCTCCTCTCCAGACCAATGTGCTTCTTTAGCATGGGCAGAGGCATCACAGAATTTGAGGATGCACCTCTAGAAAGGTTAGGTGATATCATTATTTTTTCAAAAGGGACATGTGTTCACAGATGAAGTTAGAAACTCTTAAATGTGATTCTCATGTACAAAATGATGAGGCTGTGGCTTCTTCCTGCCTACTCTCTCATGATACTTGTCTCTTGGGGGAGGATGTTTATACTGAACATCCGAGAACCATTGTGTTTTGTTCAGGATCCACCTGCTTCTCTCCAGCCCAAACACAATTAACTGAGGCTGCTAAATTTCAGAGTAGGAGGCTGGTCACTGTTACTGCCTTGAATTCAATCCAAGAAACTAACCATGCAGTCGAGGGACTCCAGGTAGAGGCCAACCAGTTGGGGTGTTAGACTGAACAAGTCCTTGAGTTCTTTTGTTTATTTGGTACAATAAGTGCAATCTGGTTTCAATTACATAACGTGTACCCTCACCCTCATCACACAGGCATTTAGGAGTTTAACAGTTTAGTCAGAGGTAAATGACAACCATAAGAAGATGATCACAATTTGGATCTCTAGGTAATACATCAAAAACTATGATTATTGATAATAACAGTAATAGCTGCTGTTTTGTACCAATCACAATCTTTATGTATTAAATATTTTTTGTACATCACTGTTGTGGTCATCATATAGCCAGTTTAGAGCTGAGGAGACTGGCACACACTAGTTGATGATGACTTGAATAGATTCTAGAAAATTGGAGAGCAAGGCTTAGTGTCCAATTTGCCAAAGATAGGACTGGCTTCCTGGAAGACATGGAATTTGAGCTAAATCTCAGAGCAAATCATGGAGCAAAATAGAGAAGGTAGAGTATTTTGCATCTTCTTTTAGCTGTAGTGAGGCTGGGCAGACTGTCACACAACAGACTTGCTTCCATGCGTTTCCCTGTCAGCTTTACCTGAGCACACCAAGTTACTTCTGCTAACACAATCCAGATGTCTTTGTCCTCTTTCACAAGCTTAAGTGCTTTGTTATAATTTTCTTATAGTAAATAGTCTTTGTGCCTCAGTTTCTTTATCTATAAAATGGAGAGAGTAAAGGAATTACAGTACTCACTTTCTAGAGTAGTGGGAGAACCAAATGAGTCAATATGTGAAAAGCACCTCAGACAGAGCATTGGTCATAGTAACTGACATTGATTTTTAACTGCCACATCTTTACATATATAAACAAGAGTTTTGATCATGTGGAATTAATTCATAGCTACTCCTCTTGCCTTCTTCCTTCTCATGTAGGATAAAGAAAAACACACAAACACAGACACACACAAATTTTTCTTTTTTCTTTCTTTTTAAAGATTTATTTATTTATTAGGTATACAGTACTCTGTCTGCATATTCACCTGCATGCCAGAAGAGGTCACTGGCTCTTGTGAGCCACCATGTGGTTGCCGGGAATTGAACTCAGGATCTCTGGAAGAACATCCAGTGCTCTTAACCTCTGAGCCATCTCTCCATTCCCCACACACATTTTCTGACAGTGCTTTACTATCAGGGCTTGCTAAAAATTAGAATGGCTGAATATTGTCAAAGTGCAGCTTCTTAGCACTAGATAATATGGGAAGGTCCCATTTTGTTTGGCTACTTTAGATTCTGTGGGAGACCTGTTCCTCCTCCTCTTTCAGGAAGCAAACATTTTAACTAAAGACTCACAAAGAGTCCAGACTCATTATGTGTGATCTCTTCTATAACCTGCAAAGCATGGTACCAGGGAAGGTGCTTTGCTCAAGTGGAGAGGTTACAAGGCCAGCCATATCCTGCTGGCCTCACTCAAGTCCAGTTATTTTCCTACTGCTCTTTGAAATCCCCCAGGGCCTAAGGCCAGTCTTGACTTTGTCTGGCATAGGCACAAAGGAGGTTTTCCTGCCTAAGATCACAATAGAAGGAAAATACCCAGGCTCCCTTCCAACTGTGAAGACCTCTGGACTAAACCATGGGCAGCAAACCTGCTTCCACACAGGAAGCCTTTTCTAGAAGGCTCAGGTGTGATGATAGTTACAGCTCTAGAGTTTTCCCCTAACAGGAATGTTGTCATATCCATGAGGCATTTCCTCCTCTGACATCTGTCATCAAAACTGGAGATAGTCTTGGTTTTCTTGGTTGTCTAAGGAAGGCCACTGTGGAGAGAGAGAGAGAGAGAGAGAGAGAGAGAGAGAGAGAGAGAGAGAGAGAGAGAGAGAGAGAGAGAGAGAGAGAAAGAAAGTACGTTAGTTAGTTAGTGGGGGAGCCCATTTTGAAGGACATAGCTGGGGCCTCCAATTAGTGCTGTTCCTGAGATTCAATTGTTAAAAACTATGGGGGTTTATCTCCTGAGTTCCTGAATCCTGTAGACCAGGCAGCAACCTGAAGGAGGACCTGGGAAGTTCATTAAACTGGCTTCCATGCTTTCAATGAAAATGCTATGTCACTGTGAGCAAGGCTTGCTGACATAGCTTTGGTACAGAAAGAGGGAAGCAGCATGAGTGGCTGTGTAGTCCATCCACATAGGCTTGTTCTCTACTCCTCACCTTTGTTGGCTTTTCGCTATCATTTAGAACTGTTGTAACCTTGAAGTAAAGGATTTTTCTTAGTTTTTAATTAGTATTAAACATTCACTATTGCATTGATATCATGTTGGTGGTGATTCTGTATTCGGCATACATATATAGGCAATTATTGAATAAGAAAATATTTCCTGTTTCTTATTTCTTTCTTACTATGTTGTTGTACATAATTTAGCACTGGTGTTTTAAGTTGGAATTCTAGAAAGGATTTCTTGTGGAGAGCATAATAGTGTGACTTGAATCAGGATTCTTACCTGAGACTCTGGATGAGGTTCAAGTTTACGAGTAATTTCATCTCTTGCTTTTTCTTTTCTTTTTTCTTTTTGTATTTCCAGGATGAATTTAAGAAGGAAAAAGGAGAGGGCCTAACCCAAATACTGTGTGAGAAGGAGGAGGCTGAGGCTGATGCTGGTGCTAGTGTCTGCTCCTTGCTTCTAGCCCAGTCTGAGGTTAGGCCCGAATGTTTGCTGATGGTCTTGGCCAATAGTACAGGTAAGGGCCACTTTGGGGACTTGGAATTGACTAGGGCTGAACTTAAATGGGGTTCAAGATTGAAGATCCTGGTTGGAACTCAGCTTCAGAAACTACAGGTGCTGGGAAGAAAGGTCTGGTTGAAAAGGATCACTGGATAAAAGAGCTTCTAGGACAAGATGGGAAGATAGTTCAAGATAAGCTGGACTAGCTTCTAGATTTAGCAACCCCTGTTTCTAATTCTAGAACTTTCCAGCAAACTCCAGCTTATGGAAAAGCACCAGTCTGACTTGAGAAAGGTATGTTCACAAGATGATGCATCTCACGGGAGCACTGGGTCAGGAGAGGAGATGGTGACCTCTCCAGGCATCACTTCTTTCCCTCCTCTGACAGTCCACATCAGGGAGTTGCACCCAGGGATATGGAGTGGTCTGGGCTTCTCGCTAGAACTCTTTTTTTTCCACAAGTGACATGCTGCCATTTGTTTATCTTTTCCTTAAGCTGGGGATCCAAGGCTTCAATAAACAAGATATTGGGAGTCACCAGAGCTATTCCCGAAAGACTCTGATTGCACTGGTCACCTCGGGAGTGCTGCTGGCCATCTTGGGCACCACTGGCTATTTCCTGATGAATCGCCGCAGTTGGAGCCCCACAGGAGAAAGGCTGGTCAGTTCTGGGGTATGGGGAAAAGTAAATGAGGAAGATAATGAACTTCTGGGGAGGCCCATGGATATCATGAGAGGGAGGGGAAAAATATCATAAAAGAAATTTCTGGTATTTTTGACCTAGGGATATGCATGCATGAAGACATTGTATCTACAGAAGAGTAGGAATAAGATGCAGCAAATGGGGAGCAGGGTAAACTGGGGCAAGTTCACCTGCTAGTCTTTGTCACAGCTGATGGTTTATGTTATTTATTCATATAGTCCTGGATAGCTCAGCTGGATAAAGGAGAACAGGTTGCTAAATTGGACATGCTTATTTGTAAACATATTAAATGCCCCGTGGGTGCCATTTTGCTCACAAACATGGGACATATGGAAGGAATATCTTACTTTTGAAGTGTTCTGGATAGAGGGAGGGACAAGATTGAAGTTTGACTCCTGCCAATGGCTGGTATCTACTGGGGAGGCTTTTCTGTCCCTGAGACTGGTTTCTTATGGGGCTGGTTACTGAGCCACGTTGACATGGTGTGGTGCCTCTCCTCTGTCCTTTCTCCTCTAGGAGCTGGAACCTTGATGGCTGTTGGGAAGAAAAGAGCCTGCACATGTAGCTGTACCTGCCCCTCTCCTCCTTCCTTTGTGCTCTCCTCATAGTACCTCACAACCCGACTTACCAGATAATACTACTTTATTTCTACACTGTCCAGGGTGAAGACCCTTATTACACGGAGAATGGTGGAGGCCAGGGCTATAGCTCAGGACCCGGGGCCTCCCCTGAGACTCAGGGAAAGGCCAGTGTGACCCGAGGGGCTCAGGAGAACGGGACCGGCCAGGCCACTTCCAGAAACGGCCATTCAGCAAGACAACATGTGGTGGCTGACACAGAACTGTGACTTGGCTGGGTGGGCAAAACTGGGTGGTATCCAGGAAAGTGGCATCTCTGCCTCTGATCTCATGCTGCCTCCAGCTCATGTCCTACCTTCTCACATCACACACATTTTAGAGACTGTTCCCAGGACATTTCACCTTTGTGGAGACAGATAAACTGCCTTCTGAATGTTCAGCTCCCTGAACCCAAGCTCTGACCTTTGGGTCAAGTTGTGATGGAGAGAAGCCTAGGTCTAGAGGAGCTCCCAAGAAGATTGGTGGCTATGTAGCACTTGCCTTGGGTCTTGTCTTCCTCTTCTCTTGCCTCTTTACAGTGACTCTTGGGAAGACTAGTTTTTCTAAGCTATACCTTCCTCCCAAGAAACTTTGCTTTTTACTGTTTCTTCTTTCTATTTTCTTCCCCTACTTTAGGGAAACCAAGGTATTCACTGACATCTGCACCCTTATAAGTATACAGCCAGAAACAGTACATCCCTTATAACTCTTCAAGACACTGTGGATTTAGTCACCGACTTCTATCTTGGTCGCATGTTCCCGAATATCCGTCTACAGAGGCCAGGACAACTTTCTGTCTGGTTCCTGATACTGGGCTCCATGCTTTCAAGCAACAGCTCACCTAGTCTCTTGGGGCCTTACAGAAATTCCCATTGGTTCAATGTAGACAGGACAGTGGAACTAGACTTCGAACTGAGCCTCTTTTTTTAATTTAGTTTTGTTGTTAGGACTGAACCCAGAACTTCACACATATTAGTCAAGTGCTCTACCATTGAGCTATTCCGTCTTCTTATTTAGAGGCAAGGTTTTATGTAGGTGACCAGGCTTGCCTTGAATTATACAGTCAGGCAGGCCTTAAACTTAAACTCTTGCTTTAGGCTTCCAAGTAGTTTGAATTACAGGTCTGAATTACCAGGCTCAGTTGAGCGCTTCATAACCTCCTGGGCTCTTCAGAAGAATCCTCTTGCTGTGAGGCTCCTAACCTCCTATAACTCTAAGACTCTCCCCACCCTCTGACTCCTGGGGGAGCTGTGGCCTCATTCCCCTGGTAGACTCCTTTCTGTCTGTGCCTTTCCTAGCTCAACCCCCTTCAAGACTACAATCTTCCTTTCCTGGGTCTGACCCAGGACCCCTTCTCTAATTTTTCCAGAGGGGTGGGGGAAGAACAGGGATCCTGATTTCAATGAGACTGGAAACAGAACTTTCCAGAGATGAGAAGATTGGGTGAATTTTTTCTGAATAAACAGTGATGAGTGAGAATAATATAATTAAAGTGATGATAAAATCTGTGCTGTGGCCTATCATGCTGAGTGTGCTAAGTGACAGGGTGGCTTCCATTTCAGGCCTGGGGAAACTGTGTGGCAATATGGGGGGGTGGTCAACCAAGGAGGAGCTCTGCTTAGGGAGGGACTCAGGTACCAGACAGGATGCCCAGAGCTTGTGGCTTTGTGAAATGTTCCCTTCCATGTGAGGAGGCAGAGAGGCCAGAAGCTTTCTATAGTGGAGATAAGGGCAGGCTACAATGCCTTTCAGTGTCCTTCAATGCCTTGCGATGCTCCTTCAGGAGGATGAGGAATGTTGGGTATTCAAAAACACCATTCCAAGAGGGGCATGTGAGTGACTGCATGAAAAACATACAAAACAAAGGAAAGGATTTATGTTCTAGGCAGCGTTTGTTACCTGCTCATCCACTAACCCACCTCATGGTAAAACCAGAAAGAACTATGTGAGGTCTGTTCTGGAGCTGGTTGCCAACTCCCAGATTTGGCAGCGCTATGTAAAGACTTGTCCATGCCAGATTCCAGGTGACCTGCCCCCATGCCACATAAAGTGGAAGACGAATGCGGCTAGATTTTCAGAGGCATCTGAAAACATCCATGTGCCAACAGTACATGGGGGTTAAAGGCTAAATAAAGGTTGATTCTTCCAGTCTTATCGTGTCAAAGCCAGGCATATCCCAACCCATTTCTTGCTGGCTTTTGTCTAACTTTGCTCATAGAGACTCCTCCCTAGGATTAAGAAAGCCAAGGGACAAGGCTAGACCTTGCCCAAAAGGTGGTGCATGTTTGGAGCATCAGAGAAAGGAAAGATGGTGATTGAACATAAAATTCTAGATAGTCGCCATTTAATAGCATGTCTTGCAATGAGTTACCAGTTAAGGGCCTGGCTTTGGTTAGTGGTGTCTGGAAAGCAGTTAAATACTGGGAATGGAGTCCTTGGAAACATCAGAGAGAGAAAAGAAGATATGAGGCCTCAGGGCCATTTCACCCTGCATTTCTGAGGATGTAGGCTTTAGGGGAAAGGTGTGTATGCTCTGGGGGTAGATGCAGTAGTGGCTATGATAGCTGGATAGCTTACTCTAAAGGCCTCATTTGCTTCCTAAAGCATTACTTTCCACTAGGTCTGAAAATCACGATGTAGCAATGGCACCACCTGCTGGCTCCGCTGGGTTCCCACTATTCAGCCTCATAACTGGTACTTGTTTGCTGGGTTTCTCTCTGGTGTTGTCCTACCCTTCCTTAACAGTCTTCTCATATTTATCTCATTTGTAGCACACAC